TAATTAATGATTTGCTTTTTAATTAATTTCAAGTTAATTCCAAGTTAATTTGTTTGAATAGTACAAGCTTTAATGTCCTTTTTTGTAATACCTAAGTTATTTTGCATTAAGCTTGAACAATCATCATTTAAATTGAGATTGAGATTTCAAGATGGGTCAAGACTTTGACAGCACGTCACTGCATCCTTTGAGGATTATTGTGACACACCCACTTCAGTTCCATAGACGAGTTGCAGTTAAGCACGCTAATATGTCCTTTGGAGAGATGTTGCCTAATTCCATTATAAGTGGATAGGCAGTAGATAAGTACCGAAGTCTGAGTCTGTCGAGACTATCACAATGATACAGAATGTGTTCTGCGCAACATAGTCTGCAGGTATCATCTCTAGTATTACCTAAGTACAATCACCATACCGATTTAGTTTAAATGTTTGCATTAATGTTTGAAGATTGTTAAGCCCTACACATTATCTAGTATAGTAATTGTTATTCTTAATCTCTTCTAATTGAGCAAGTACTCCTATTCTTTAGGTAGATTATTTTGGTTTAATCTTCATTCTTCAGGGATATATTATGCTGGAAAATATTACTCATTCATCAATACATCCTTATGCTACACGTAATGATTTTAATTTTTGACCAGCATTTTTTTTTTCAGTGTGCCATGCGCTTCCCTCTCTGTTCGTTCCCTCTCGCTGTTGATTAATTTATCAAACAGAAGTTTTATGAACAGCATTCACAGAATATTCGGATGAACTCTTCAACGATATAATTGAGTTATTCTAATACTTGATATACTTGATACTTGGAAATTGGCATATCCTGTCGGCACAACAACAAAAGCGCAAACACACAAAACAAATTTTTCCTCAACAAAAAGTATCTGAGTATCTGAGTATCTGACCTGTTAAATGTAGCGTAAAAATAAATTTTTTTATTTATGAATTTATTTATTTTGTTATTAAATCAAAATTTTGTTATTGTTATTGTTGTTGTAGTTGTTGTTGTTGTTGTTGTTGAATTTATTTTTTTTTTTAAATTTGTTACTAATAAGAGAATTGTTCATATTTAAATCGCTGCCAATGTGTTGCCTTAATTTATTTTGCCTTACGCATTCCTACGTGCTGTAAAAGTTTTTATGCTTTCCGCCTCTGCTTGCAGACCTCTCCTTGGTCTGCAGCGCTCCTCCCTGTGCACTCCATGGATGTGGCTTTAGACATTCACTGATCCGCAAAAAAGGTCAAGTTAAATGCAAAATTATGACTAAAGTAGGATATTTTTTGTAATTTATGCTTATCCGTCCAGAGCAAAGTGACTTCTGTTTAAATGAGCCGCTTCCTTCTTGCTCAGCTTTTTCGCATTATTCATATTTTTTGTTTTTTGGCGTCTTCAGCATCCAGCATCCAGCATCCAGTATCCAGTCTCCTTTTTTCTGCTTCTCTAATATAATTTTTATTATATTTTAGCTATTTTGCTCTAACGTTTTTTGCGCTTGTAACGAGAAGAAAAAATGAAAGCCCGTATAAAAAAATAATTTTCATTGAGTTGTAAAAAGGTGCGTTGAAATTACTTTCGACATTGATATTATGTTACATTTTATGTGCCATAAGAAGGACCTTAAATTTAAGGACGTTAAAAGTTGCAACGTTTTATACAAATTGAGTTTAAAATGCACGACTTTGTTGCGGTTAAATTTAAGGATCAGCGATTTTTTATTTCCCTGTGTGCTGGTCCGATCCGATTTTTTTTATTGGGCCAAAAAAAAACGGGAATGATTATGCGTTGCGGTTGTAAACAAATTTTTTATTGAAAAATCATTACCAACTGCCAAAAGCATTTGTGCTGAGCTTGATAAGTTATTTAATGACAACATTTCCCGACATTCACATTTATCTGACTTTTGTATTATGTGTTTTGTTTTAGTTTCTCTGGTACAACGTGAAAGGAAATTACATTCGGGATTTCTACCAAATGAAGTTATTGAATTTTCGATTATATCAGCATTTATTTGAAATACTGAGTGCAATACTAATGGTACGAAACTCACCAATACACAATACAAATACTATTAATATTATTAGGAAGTGAATTCATGATTTACTTTGATACTTTAGAGATTGACTTTTAAGACCCACTAGGTTATGGCGATACTCGTATACGATAATATGTGCAAGTATTGCTGTACACTGTAATGTTTCAATACACATGAGTACATGAACAGATTAAAGAACTCAACTAATGGCATCATTATCTTCACTAAAAATGGAATAAGTATTAAGGAAGACTCATAAGAAATACTCACTTGTACTCTAAAAATATTTTACATTATTTTTAAGTATTTAACATAGCTAAATTTCTTTTCATTTTTGGATTCACATTTCTGCAAAATTAATTATAAAAAAATTTGAAGCATGCTCAACTGAATAACACCGATTTTATGAAAAATTTAACAGAAAAGTAAACATCTTATGTTAAAAGAAATGATGACTCTATTTCTTTTTTCTCAAAACCACTTGGTCTTTGATTTCTTCCCTTATGAGTAGCAAAAGTGCCACTTCCTTAGATGTTAGTTAAGTGTACAAAGCTCTCCCTTTGAAGTAAATCATTTTAATTTGTATCACTTGTTTACAAATGTCACTAACAAATGCACTAAATTTAAATAAAGTACACTGTAAATAAGCTTTGAAGTTTGTATTTCTAACGTAATTTATGTAATTCCAATCAATGATACAAAAATGTTAAAGAACTAATCAGACATTTTTTTATATTTTGATTATTTAAAATAAAAATTTTAGACAAATATTGTATAATATAGCATTAAGTTATTACCATGACCAAATAAATTATGATTTTTTAATCAAATTAGACAGAATTCAACAAAACAAGCTCCTTCAATATTTTTGCTATATTCGTTATAAAACTAGTTCTTTAACTATTTGGGTATCGCCTAAAAGTAGGCTACATTTTGGGCGAACTCTTCTTCATTCTTCAAATGCAACAAAAGCGCAGTACAGACAATCATTTTTGAATGTCATTCAGGTTGCGCTCTCACTTGCTCAGATGTATTCTAGCGACCGAACTTAAACATGTTTACATTCAAGAGTTCTCATTCAAGCAACATTTTTGAAGAATAAGGGTATTTACGCACGCTGTAAGTGTTGACAGACTATCATTCAGAACATGTTGGCAAGAAGATGAATGATGTGCTCACCAAAATTTGCGTGAGCACGCCAATATTATGGTTGCGTGTCATTCAAAGTTGGAGACTATCATTTTTGTGTATCATTTATGGATTTTTTCTCTTGAATGACACTCAAAAATAATAGTCTGTACCGCACTATAGATGTCATAATTTGTTCGTTTAAAATTTGTTTTTCCTTTTTTCAAGTAATCGATGAATGAAATAGTTTGCTTATAGCATGTTTTCACTGCTTACTTAGTAAGTGTAACTTACTAAGTAGATTTCATTAAACATGCAAAGAGTTTCTAAGCTTTTTAACTTTCTTAAGAATAAAGTAATGATATGTTTCCACTGGCTTCGTTAGACCAGTTAACTTACTTCACATTACTTAAATTACTTATATCATAAATAAGTGATAAAGTGATAAACAATAATCTAGTCAAAGCATAAAGGGGGGTTTTCAAAATACCTCGAGTTAAGAAAGAGTAAAAGTGCTTAAGTGTAGCTTTAACATAATAATTTGTATTTATAAAACATAAAATTAAATAATAAAAATAAATAAAAACCAAAATAACAATCAAAATTAATTTTTTGTTAACACAACAAACAGAAAACTTCAATTATGGACAAAAGATTCAGGATAAAAGGACATGTTTACACATAATCCAAGATGCAGACAAGCTTATGCATATTATTTCCGATGACTTTCTTACAAGTATATTTCAAAATTGAATATTGTGATATCTGTGAAATACATTTTATAATGCCAATCAATTAATTAAACATTATTCTTGTCACAAACAAAAATTTATTCAAATAAAATGCGCTCAAGGATTTCTTAATATTTCTTTTTAAAAAAAATTTAATATAAATTTTATTACGAAGATATAGCATAATTTAAATGTCAGATATTGTTTTAAATTTTTACTTAAGTCTTTTAAATGATTTAAAATAACTAAATAAGTATAAAATTAAATTAATTAAATTTGAAGTAATTTACTTTAGGGAAAGGTTATTTAGAAAATAAAATAATTCAATGCCATTCCACAGAAAGATTCTGTTACCCGAGCATTGTCTTATAATGTAAATGAAATGTTTTTTATTATAAATAAAAAAACAAATTATTCAATGTCACATTAAAAATATCTGAACAGATATGTCAGTTTTAGTTCCTTCTCGCCATTCGTCTCGTCACCTTTAGAGCTGTGCCCCCATTCCAGCTCTCTTACCTTATCAATAGCTGCTTTCAATATCTGGTGCTGTAGCTACTGACGTCTATATCTGAGTATGTAACTATAGCTGCGTTTCTTAAAAAGAAGATAACCTCTACTATTTAAGTAGTTAGAATCATGTTTCATAAAATGTATATATGTTAATACCTATTACTGAATAAAACAAACAAATATAGTATTCAATTCTATGTTTCTGTTACAAGCTGATTCTCGTTTTTATGGTTAATAATATATGTGAAAAGCGATAACAGTTCCATCTTTTATGAATGCTGCTCCTCTTAAAACCGCACCCTGTCATGTCTTCAGGTTGAAGTGGTCCTTACTTCGCCATTGTTAAAAATCTAATAAAATTCAATCAAAAATCCACTGCATAAAATATTGTCATATTTTCACAAAATTTCAATCTAGTTGTCATAGCAAATATCAAATATTTTAAATAAAATTACTGTTTGAATTAAAAAAAAAAATTTCAGTTGTTAACAAAACTTAATAGAGAGTGTTCTAACAAGAACGAAAAAATTATTTTAATGAAAATTTTTAATTCGTATTTTTAATTCTGAAATATTTTTAATATATTTTGTTCATTTTTTAAATATGGACAGAAAAATTAACGAAATTGTTTCGTTTCTAGTAGAAATTACTAAAGTAAACGTTGAGTCTGGGTGGTATAGATCTTCCATCATCTATCTAATTATATTTACCATTTTGATTGGATTTCTGTTTATAATATATTTAAAATGGAAAGTACAAGTAAGTACACTAGCATCATCTAATTTGGCCAGTGAATATATATTGTATTGATTATTTGTATAAAGGGCAATCCGGAACACAATCGGCATGGAAACTTGGAGCAAAATCAGAACCAAAGCGATGCAGGTGTTGGCGATAGCAATAGAATTAATACTGTTGCAGAAGGAGAATTAGTTGCTAATCAAGGACTTAGACGAGATCAACCTACTGTCGACAGTACTGCGATGGATCGCCGCGATGCGGTTAACAGCCAAATCAATTTAAATAATAATACAGCCAATTCACGTGGAACCATAGTAAGTCGCACCACACTTCCACAAACTAGTGAAAGTGTCGTAAGTCGCTTATCTCGTGGCAGTGCCATAAGTCAAATCAGATCAAATGCATCGCGTGATATTGGACCCCGCCACCTATCCCATTCAGAATAGCAGCATCCATTGTGTTTTTTCTTGTTAAAAAGCCGAGATTTAGAGTGTACTATGTAATGTAATTCGTTTAAGCAAAAATAAAAAAAATATGTATAAATATTTTTTGTTAGAGCACAATTAAAAGATTTTTAATTTTTTTTTCTTATATTATTGATATTTTTAATATGACCGAAAAATTAGTTAGGATAGTGCCATCTGAATTCGTTTATAAAAATTAGTTTTAGTTTTCGTTTTATAACTTGTTTTTTGGAGTGTATAATGAAATATGTGTTCTATTGATGTGAAACATATAAAGTGATTTTATACCAAATAAGCTTAGAAATTTATTTTTTAATATAAGAGTCTACCTTAACTGGGTCCATCTTATAACGACTTTTGCCGTGAAAGTGACTCTATGTATGATGAGGAAATTTTGCGCTAACTCATGTGTTAGTGTTCATCTTTAGCTAAAAGGAAATCCAAAATCTTCCGGCTTGCTTTTGTTATCTACCTAACAATCGAGCTGTCATCGTCCAAAATTAGGCAATTATCCAAGTAAATAGAACTGTCAGGAACTGTCAGGAGTCGCATCTTTAGCCTTGGTTCGTACGCTGACCTCAAGCCTGCGTATGAACAAACGCTAATCCTGTGGTACTACAACGGGCCATTATTGAAGTTATCACAGAAGCATAGACCCTATAATAGTATATTACATTTTGTTAGTAAATAATAATACTAATAAATGCTTTTTCTTAGCTTCTATATAATTTTGTGAATATATTCTAAAAGTAATTTAGAAAGTCGTTTTTTATAATGATTACCGTGCAATGTAAAAGGCGTATGAGAATGACTGCTCATTATGTTAAAATTAAGTTCATAATGCTTTTAACACATTCCGGCAAAAGTATACACAGTCACACAGATACACACATACATATACACACGCATATATTCTGAAGTTGGCTCATGTAAGCTTAAGTCGTATTCAATTTAAAACCTTAGTCCATTAAATATTGCAGTGAAACCTTTTCCGAAGTTGGCATAATTGCGTACTTACATCACACATACGCTTCTCTTCTCTCTCGTACAAACAAATTTTTTATAAGCATGTCTGTTTCTGTTCCACTGTCAGTATGTTTATCCGTCCGTAGTATCTAAGGATCCATTCCAAGTTTATATGTTTATTTGTGTTTCAAATAAATATATTTCAGTTTGTCCGTTCTCAGCACTAACACGTCCCCACATTTAATTTCATTTAGAAGAGTTTGTAACATTTTCGAAATTCCTCTAATGCTGGTACATTTTAAACAATGCACGCTTTTCTGAACATTCCTCCGCAAACCTAAGCGCTTACGCCTCCCTCGTTCATAAATGTATCTATGCAGTTAATCCGCTTTATGTTATAACTTTGTATTATGGAAGATAATATTGTTTTCTTCGTTTTTACAGATTTTTCTATCTAAACAGTTTAGTTGTCTTTCAGGATTTGATTTGAATTAGGGAGGAGTAAGAGCAACTTTGAAATTAGTTGCTTTTAAATTTTAAAGAGTATTTATTTTTCAATGTTTGTGAATGGCAAATTGAATATACATTTTAATTCTTCTTAACCACCAATATATTATGAAAATTTTTTTTTATTTTATTCGAAAATTAATTTGTTGTTTATTATTTGTTATTATATTTTGACGTTAAGAAAATATTGAAATACCAGAGCTTGGACTCAAACTGCAACCATTGGGATTGGGAATATTTTTATAAGACATACAAATAGATAAGCACTATGACTATGTTCATATATCAATTCCTTAAAGGAAATGTAAGTATGCACTTTTTAGTCCACGAAATATCGTTAGATATTCACGTAACTTAGAAAAATATAATGACAATTAAGGTAATAAGATAAGTAAAATAAGATAATATAATAATTTAAATAGATGCATCGTTTAAACTGCTCTAAAACACATTATCACTTATATTCTTAAGAAAAATATTAGAGATATACAGTCTATGACTTAGTATTATCACATTTGATAAATTAATCCTGAGCAAAACCACAAAAAATACTACTATAGAATATTATCTTATTATTATCAAGCGAATGTCTTTAATAGCCTAAGGTAGTGGCTTATGTCAGCAAACGGTTCAAAAATTCTTGCTCCTATCAAAAATAGTAGTTGGGATTACCTAAAAAACAGAACCGCTAAAAGTTTTCACAAGAACAACTAAAGTACTGTGACTGCTAGCACTTCAGGTTTACTGGTATTCTTGTAGCAACGTTCGATACGATGTGCTTGACACCTATGGACGTATACTAGTCTCTAAGTACTTTTAATTATGCTTGAATATAACTTTTTAAATGTTAAAGAGCATAATATATGTTTCATAAGAAACTGAATTGAATTAAATTTGTTTGTTATACATTTACATACATTGGAAAGCTTTTACATATTAATGTGCTTGTGGTTACCTTTACCAGTAATGCTAACATATAAACGATTCGATGACTTTGTTTCTCAAGCGTTTTAATAGCACAATTGTGTTTTATGCTAGCACTAAAAAAATAATATATAATTATACAAATACATAAATTGTATACTTCTGTGTTGTGTGGTTTTGAGAACTAATTAAACTTAATATATGTATTAGTTAGTATATTTAGAAATCATCGTTAATACATTGAATGATTCGATACGAGGCCTAAAGAAGGAATATTAATATGCCTGAACTATTTTTCCGGCTTTTTCAAGGAAATGCAAAATTATTGTTTGACATAAGTTTACAATGAAAATTAATGTTTAATCCAAATATTACTCTATAGCTTAATCGAGCTTAGCTCTAGAATTAATTTCGCAGCTCACTACTTCATTAGTAATAGTAAAGACAACAAATAATTAAGCATGTTAAGTTCTTTAAATTTATTTTATACTCTCTTGCTAATAGCATCAATATGTTTAACTTTCCTTTCCACTTTGTTGAGCTTCAAAAAGTTTTTAGCGAAAGTTGCCAGCATTGCACTTAATTCACTCGTTGCGCTACAGTTTATGAGTAGATACTTTAAATACATTATATACAAATATTATATACAAAGAAAGTAATATAATAAATTTTTTGCAATAAATTAAATTTATTATTTCCTTGGTGTATTTACAATGTATTTATTATTATTATTGCAATGTATTTTTGTATTACAATTTGAGTAAAGACACAGCTCTTAGTAAGACTATAGGGCGGAGGCAAAGTTATTCCATAATTATCTGTCAAGAGCCTTCTGCCGGATTTCATTCCATATACCGAATTGCTGATGTTCAGCAAGAATAGAGCGTAGTCAGGTGACTCGTGGGCGGCCTTAGGGTTTTACTCAAAGGCCATTTTCAGAATGGCGATGTTGTCTTTCTGGAGTACGTATAAGTTAAATATTTATAGTAAAAAAAATATAAAAAATTTTGTTTTTACTTAAATTTAGTAGATAAATTATACGAGTAAATACAGCGCCGAAGGATTTATTAACATTTGAAGGGACATTTTTTTACTCGAATGTGTATCAAAAAAAAAAAATTTATAATATATAATTAAAAATTATCTCAATATATTTTAAAAACAAAGTCACCAACTTTAGAACAGTTTTTATAATAATTTTTGTCCCTTCTTTTTTGTCTGTTATTGTAAATGCAGCAATTTTAGCGGCGCAGATACTTCCATCCACTAAAAAGTTTACGTACTTGAAGCGCTTAAACCAATTTTGTACCGAAAAACTTTTGCTTTTGTTAAACGTAATAAAGACACTTACAACAAATAACAACAACGATATTCATAAGAAAAAGAATACTGACAATAGCATACAAACAAAAACAAATAGTAAACAAAATTTTTTTACAAAGACAACGTTTTAAAAATAAATATTACAAAAACAAAGGCTGAGTCACGCAGCAGGACTATCATTGCAATGATACCACACACGAAAATATCAAAACACCAAAATTCCAAAATAGTAAAAACACAAACACAACAACACAAAAACAACAACAAAACAGCAAAAAAACAAAACAAAAAAAATTGTATAGTATAAAGTTTTTTAAACAAACTTACAACTCAATACAATTGCTTTTTACAATACCGCAACGAAAACTTTTCTCTCAACTGTTACAAATTCTTCTTCTTCTTTTCTCCATTTAAATTCCTTTTGTCACAACACTACCATTACCGACGCCGATGCCGTTGCCGTTGCCGATGCTGTTGCCGATGATAATACTTTTGTAACGTTTGTGTTCTTCTTATTCTTCGTCTTTGTGGCTCGTGTTTGCTTTTGTTTTTGTTGTTGTTGTTGTTTTTGTTGTTGCTTTTACAAATGACTGTCATAAATAAATGTTTGCACTTTGCTGCTATTCTTGGTTTGACTGTTGTTGCAATAGTTTTTGTTTGAGTTGCTTTTGTCTTTTTAGTATGCGATGCTGCTGCCACTGCTTCTGCCACTGCTTCTGCTACTGCTTCTGCTACTGCTACTGCTTCTAGTAGTGATTCTTCTGCTACTACTGTTACTACTGCAGTTTTCTTGTTTTTTGTTGCTGCTGCTGATTGTAGTCGCTTAAATTAATTAAAAAAGTAACTGAATTTTTATGCTTCTTCAATTTGTTTATTTTTTGTGTTTTTTTTTTGTTATTTGCTCTTACTTTTTAAGGCTTTTCCATTGAGTGATCAATGCTTTCTACAAACCAGAAACCGAAATGGCACAAATAAAAAGTTAAACAATGAAAAAAAAGGAAAAAAAATATTAAAAAAATTTTTTGTAAAAAATTTAGTAAAAAATTGTGCAGAAAATAAATCTTTTTCATTGTAAAACTTTTAAGTAATCAGTTCAGAAAAGTTTTGTTTTTTTTAAATTTATTTTATCTCTTTTTGGTTATTTTTAATTTAAGTCTTAATTGAGTAATCTTGACAAGCAAAAAAGTTAAAATCGCTTAATATATAAAAACCAGTAGATGAAATTGTTTAAATTAAATATTCACAAAAGTTCAATTCAATATTTTTTTTTTTATTTTACTTTACTACACGTTCGGTCAATTAGCAAAAGTAAATCGTAAGTACTAGGCTATACGACGGAATGCTACCAGGTTGACCTGCGTCATCAAA